TCCAGTGCATGTATATATGTCAAGTTGGCTTGTTGGAGCCAAGATCAATTAACAGTAATGTTCCTCACACACCTCTAGTTTGGTTGCTGTTGATGAAGTAACCGAAAATATGTCTCTACCCTGAGAGTTGCCAAGCCAAAATACTCTGTTCCAGTTCATGGCCGAAAAAAGTTGGGAAACACATGTCCATACGCTCAAGCTTTACCAGGAATCAGTCTGCTGCAATGGCATATCTCTCCTAACACTAGCTTGTTTCTTCCCCTGCCACTGTCTCTTCATTTTTCATACATTCAGGTTATTGTTCTGTGCCTTCTACAGGTTAGACCTCTTTTCCTGGTCAAAACAGCTATTATCTTCAGGTTAGTTAAAATAGCCCTTCTAATCATTCAAGAAAACTGTATTCTTCTGAAGATTCATTTGTAAAGTGTATTTATGTCTTTTTATGACTTCCTATAAAGTTACTCAGAACTGTTTCTCCATGTGTTTTGACAGGTCCTAGACTTGCATGGATCTTGCAAAATCCCTGTGCTGCCCATGACTGGTATAATGTCCGAGAAGAAGTCGCATGAAGTAGAAGTAATGAGTGAAGTCATTGCTCGTCTTGCAAAAGGTTGGTTTACATAACATGATGCTTTTATTATCTATAGATGAATTGAAAGTTGATGTAAAGTGTCTATAATGCTAAGGATTTCATCTTGCCACAAATTCCTTGAACTCATGTGGTGTAAGAATAGTAACACAAAAATAAAGTCAAATTAAAATGAGAAACACAGTATGTTTCCTTATCTCTTGTACCATTATTTGTATCATTAAGGAGAAAAATATGCAAATAGACCTTCCAAATCAGATGCCTTCTGATAAGACCGTCACTTTTGCAGGCTTCGATGCTAATTGGATCATGGACCTAGGCAGTGGCAAGGGTTACTTGAGCTCATCCTTGGTCCTTCAGTATGGCCTAAATGTTTTGGCCATGGATTCCAGCCCAGTCAACACCACTTCAGCTTTAACTCGAAATACTAAGTTAGAGGTAAGGAAGGGTGTTTCATTTAATAAGTATTGATAATTTAACACACTGGATCTGGTTGCTTTATGGCAACTTACATGAGTGGCCGCTTAGACAAATGTGCAGCTTGTAGGCCAGGTGCAAGTGAACACTCATATGTAGTGACAAGACTCTATGCCTACCCATGGTAATGTCATTTTCTTTTGTTATGCATAAGCATTTTTTTTTTTCCTTTTTCAAATGTCCATATTTGTCAGTTGATCTGCTTTATCTAGATGGAAATAGACTATTTTGCATCATATCATCTCTCTGTAGGTAGTTCATAACTCAGTGCAAGAATGATAACAATAAGTAATATTTTGTTGTCTTTTTTTTCATGATATTCACTTTTTTGTAATACAACTTGTGCCACCAGTCACAGCAACCAGGTTGTATTACATGGCTCATGAACATTACATTCCACATTCGTTTATCAATGTAAATATTGTAATAGCCCCTTCCTAAATGCCTAATGAGTCTAATAACCTTCCAAGAGGTTTGTGCAATCCTGAAATTCTCATTGCGTCAAGTTTGTTTCACCCCGGCCCATAACCAAATTTTACTTTGATAGCATGTTCATATCACCCGCCCCTCAAGCCAAATTTTTTCATGGCATTATGGTCAAGTCATCCATATTGTAGGAGTAAATGTTGATCATCTGATGATAAAACATTTGTGAGAGTAGAATTTATGCTTTTAAGAAATTTCTGATGTGAAAAGAGAAGGCAAGTCAAATAGATGGCATAAAAATAAAACAAAAAATACACATGTATATTACTAACGAATGAGGAATGCATATTTCTGATTATTTAGCGAGGGACAATCCTTGAATGGATATAAGGATGTGGATGATCTGGGAATGCCTATGCAGTATATCTTTGAAAGAGGCTATAAATTCTATCTAAAACTAATCTGTTGTATTTTTCGCATGTTTTCTTATCAAACAGAAACGCCTGGAGAAGATGAAGACTGCAGAGAAATACCAAAAAGAGGGGAAGTTGATTAAACGAGGAAAGAGGAAGAAGTCAAAAAAAGTGCTGATACACAAACCTGTTTCTTCAGATGATAGTATTGATCAAAATGAACATGTCCATGGTTCTTACATTGGCCTCACTGCATTTATAACGGAGGATACAGACCTTTTAGAGATCTTGAAAGAAAGTTTAGCTGCCTCCAGAAAACAAGATGCTATGAATGGAAAAGTGTTAGATACTGTCGATAATCATGAAGGAGTTTTAAATGTAGTTCAAAATGATAGGAAGGATAATAGCACTTCTTCAGAATGTGAGATGGGAAAAATTGATGTTTTGAATAATCCTTTAGAACCAAAGGGAGACAAAGAAACCAGTTTAGGTAATCAAAGTTCTCATAGTCTAGATGAACATAGACTAGGTTTAGTGGGCCTCCATACTTGTGGGAATCTAGCAGCAAGTAGTATCAGACTCTTCATTTCAAACAGTAAAGTTAAATTCATGTGTAATGTTGGTTGTTGTTATCACCTGATTGAAGAGGAGTTTTATGAAAATCCATTCAGCACTAAAAAGATGCAGGACACTGATGTTGGAAATGGGGATAACCCAAATAGAAAATTACTAGAAGAGGACCAAGCAGAAGGTGAGAGCCCATCCAAGAACAAGAGCAGGGCTGAAGAGGCCCAAGTGTCAGAAAGCCAGCAAGAACACACTCCGGCAACCGTGAGCTTTGATCCCCTGCATCCATCTGAGATCCCTAACTTGAGTGTGGGATTCCCCCTGTCCTCATTCCTGAGGGAGAAAAAGTTTGCCCTTGAAAGGAACACTCGCATGTTGTCCTGTCAACCAGCAGATCGTCTAACAGAACAGTCATATGTAAGTATACTGAAATGTATTACTTTTGTTAGGTTATAAGGGCAAAAAATGTGTTAATCATCTGCATCACTTGCTAAATGAACACATAAAGTATTTTGTCAACAGTTTCTTTATCATTACAATTTAATATCATTTAGAGTTTTCTTATAGTTTTACTCTTAGTAGGATTTACTTTATAATATTTTTTTACCTTTCCTGTTTGATTATGAACAAAACATCAAATGTACATTTTGATTTCATTTGCAGAATGGTCTGAACTCTCTCTATTGGCGTGCCCTGCTCCAGGTTTTGCTGAAAGAGAAATTAGGGGACAAATTTAATGCCTCCCAAGTAGGTCGTATTGCCAGTAAATGCAAGGACTTCGCAGAGTATTCCAGAAAAGCTTTTGAGAAATTAGGATTGAACATTGAGGTAAGATCCTGTCTTTTTTTTCTTTTTTTTTACCATCCATAGTATGGAATATTTTCAGGTAGAGGATTGCCCAGTATCTGAATCAGATGCTCTACATTTTGAATTTCAAATGTTTTATGTGTGGATTTAAGGATATAGAAAGTAACAATAACAATACCTATACCAATAATAATGATTATCATGGCAACATCAACCATTTCCACAAGTTACGGTTAGATAATTATATGAGAATTTTTTATATTCGTATTTACTATCATTCCTCTGTATAACTACTATTTGATTTTTTGTTTGTCACAGGTTACTGATGAGGCATTGTATGATTATGAAAGAAATTATGCAAACAACAGAGAGAAGATAGAACGTTTCTTCCTTCTTCGTTCAACACTAGCGCCCTTGATAGAAGGCCTCATACTTCTAGATAGACTAGCATTTCTTTCTGAACAGGTGAAATAGTGTTGATATAACAGGCACTTCTTCTACTTCATTCTAGAGAGAGAGAGAGTGAGTGAGTGAGTGAGTGAGTGAGTGAGTGAGTGAGTGAGAGAGTGAGAGTGAGAGTGTTAGTAGGTGTAGGTGTAGGTGAGAAGGAGATTGAGAGAGACAGAGAGCAATCACAAGTTAGTTTTGCAGTTCTGGGCTAAAACTGAGGTTTGCATTTGATAGTGTTAGTGTATGAAAGTGTGATGACATTTACCAAGAAGTCCCTCATTAGAAATATACTCTTTAAAAGTAATGTTACTTTTTTAAGGCATAGGCTAGTATTTAATGGGACCTAGGGGAATATTAATAGACAAAAAAATAATTTTAGACAATATAGTGATTGCAAAAGTCGCTTTTTCTTATTCTTCTTGCTTATTTTTCAAAACAAATGTATGCCTGGAGAGTCTGGTTGATAATATAGCAGTTATATTGAATTCTAAAAGCAATGATAGATTAACTAAGCATGCCATTGTAGAGGTTTGCAATTAATACTCCTAAAGTATTAGTGATATTGCTTATAATAAAGCTTATATGAACTTTAGATGACTTCAGTTCATGTTAGAAACTTCAAAAATATATGGCTTATAAGCACAAATTTTCAGTACATAATCTATGCAGTGCCTTTGATTTTACCATAAAATCATCTATCATTTTTTGTAAAAAGCACTACTATCAGAATCATTCTTATTACAGGAGAACATCAAAGCTGCATATCTAGTGCAGCTGTTCAACCCAGTCACATCTCCCCGTTGTCATGCAGTCATTGGCGTTCGAAGCAAATAATATTTCTGTTTTAGTATTTATTGTTATGCAGCTTGAGTTTACATTTTGTTATTTATATAATTTGCATATATATGTCGTGTTTGTTTTTCATTAGTATTGTATATTTTCTTTGTTTTTATTTGTTAATTTATCTGTTTTAGGTACATAGAATCTACCTCTGGAAAATGAATTAACAATTTCCTATGCAAACATTTTGTATTAGAGGTGTATTAAGGGGATCATCTGTTTTTGTTTTTTGTTTTTTTCCAATTTCCTCTGCCAGTTTTGATGAAAATCACACCCTTTTATCTAGACCCTGGCAAGATCTCTTTTTTTTTTTTTTTTTTTTTTTTTTTTTTTTTCTCTCTCTCTCTCTCTCTCCACATCAACCAAACAGTATTTTAATTATAGTTAGAAAACCAAAAAAGGGCCAAAGAAATAAAAAGAAAATTGACCAA